GAGTAAGAAAATTAGTTTTGTAAATGTGTGACAAATTTAAAAAAAAAAAAAGAAATCGATATAAAGATTTTTCCTAGCATTTTTGTTGCCTTAGAAAATTTCTTCGAAATTTCGATGTTTCCTTTTTGAGATCATCTGAGAAATATTTTAGAAGTAATATAAACATCTGATACACTACTTAAAAAAGATTTATTAAACACATTCGTCTATTTCTTTATACTGTATGTGTAGAATTGAACAATTAAATTGATCTTTGTTTTATTTACAATTTTTTGCGATCAAATTATTTAAGCGATCTATCCAAGAAGAACGAATGAAACTAAAATGATCTTAAAATTATCAGATTTGATTTTCATTTTGCAATCTAATACGTAGAAATATTGTTTCAGAAGAATGTATAACAATAAAATTGTATAAAAATCAACAAAAATTCAAACAACTTAAATTCAGTGCTTAATGATTGTCTATAAGTTTAATCAAACTTGAAAAAATTAGATAATAGGATACAAGAACCTACGCGAGAAATCTATTCGAATTATTAACAATATTTAAAATCTCTAAATCTAGGTTCACCTTAAATTCTCTTAATTAATATCTTTAGCATAACGAAGAAGAACGAAACGATTTACAATATTTGAAATTTCCAAATCACTAAAAAGTCCAACCCAAAATATCGATCTAACCGAATGCACGAGGATATGCAATTACGTCGTAACATCGTAATGAAAAATTCAACAGTCACCCTGTATATGTGTGCATGTACGAAAATATTTACTTATATACATATACATATATATACATATATATTTTCTATGCAAAACTTTAGGGATTTCCGGACGTGCGTTCTGTAACATACTTGATCTTACGAAGAAATGCATGTTTTAATGCACGAGTTACTCGCCTGAATTTTCAGAAGAGAAACAAAAAACATTGTTTTCCTTTCAGCAACATTGTTCGTCGTTTTTTTGTAAAATAAATAAATATGTCACGGCGTTCGTTTGATATAATTTAACCAAAGGATCTTACGAGTCTACGCTGAGTTTTGTACCGCGAATTTCAATTAAACCGTAACAGAAATTTCTATCGAAATGAAACATCACGAGAAGCAACAACAGAAGAAATTTAAAAGAAATATCGT